AAAAGTGGTAAGGGTATGAGTTTTATTTTAAAACATTTAACGAATTTGTTTTTCTTTTTTTTTGCAAGTATGAGTCGAGAATAAATCTATATTTATTTATTTGGGGGATTTTAGTTGGCAAACAGTGATTTTTGGGGTATTTTTGAAATCCTTTGGGGGAAATTAGTTATAACCATCTGGCAACCCTGCTATCACTCGACACCCTTTTCCATTAGGATCACTCCTGCTTAGGGGTTCACAGCTTAGAGGTGAAAATACATTGGAAAATACCAGTAAAATGTGTTCCCCAAAAAACAAAAAGTGACGTGTGCGAGAAAAAACCTGGGTGGGAAGTTCCCCTCCCTCTGTATATTTATTTTTTTGAATAATACCAATAATAATACCTACTTACTTTTTCTGAAATTGAGGTTGAAATGGTGTAGGGTACTTCATCCAGTTTTGCCCTTTTTATCAAGCTCCACAACCTCGATAGTTTCTCCTGTCTAACCATTTTGCTGCTATGGAATGTTTCTCGATTTTGTGTAATACTGTAAAAGCTTCCTAACGTTTTCGTCTATGATATAACTAATTTCTGTACCTAACTACTCATCGAGGCTTCTTGCCTCTGATTTTGTTCAATTCAACTATTGTTTCTTCATCCTGTTTCTTCCTTTTTCTGAACCTGCAGAGGGTTTCTTTTGTCAATTCGAATGGGCTCATGTGTTTTCGTCGATAGTGCTCTGCTGTGTTAGAAGACCGGTCAATATTTGAATAGTCCTTCTGTTTAGGTTTAACAGTTCCATAATTTTTCCTCGCTGGCTTCCCTATAAATTCTGTATGCGACTGATCGGGCCTCACCTTCTGTATCTATTGGAGGCAGCTCCAGCAACGCTTTCATTGCTACTGTGGGGATGATACTCATTGCCCCAGCTACACAGTCGTGCCAGCCTTTCCTTATTGTTTAATTTTCTTATTAACCCTATTTGGTAGGTTTCTGTCCACCTTGCTATTGCTTCATGGGTCTGACTACCCTTGTATATAGCAGAAGCGTCATTTTTATGGGATCAGTCCCCAGTTCTTTCCTTCTGCATCTTTCCAGGGCCATTTTGGCGTATGGTCTCTGATATGTGCGCGTTTCGGGAATTTCTTCCCGCTAGATTTTTATTGGTTTTAGCCCTGTTAAATGTCTCCTTTTGGTAAAAATTACCACCATTAAGTCTTTTTCCACGCACCAGGGTCCTTATTCTTGAAACAGGGGAGCAACGTTCCTAGGAGAACGAGTGTTCCGTCTTTCTGAATGATATGCAAAAGATAATATAAGTAACAAAGACGGAACACTCGTTCTCCTGAGATCGCCTGCTCCCCGGTTTCAAGAATACGGACCCAGGAGGTTACAATATTTAGGATCCTTAGGGTTTTATCCGTAATAGTGCCTGCGAACTTACTTTGCTCATTCGCATATTTCAGGCAATAGAAGTCCTCTGCGTTTAGTGTTTGTAGCAGTTCTTCTACTAGGATGCACCAGAGAAGTGAGATAGTACTCTTTCCTGGGGACATCGAGTGTTGATGGTTGTTTTTATGGTAGCTCTGCCGTAAGTGTATCATAACAGTCCTGTACTTAAGGAACTTGATTGCCTTCCAATGCTCTACCTATTTCTTGTTGCATATTAAATGCTCCCTATATGTCCAGAAAGGTGGCCATTGTTTAGTTAGAACGCCGAACGACTTCCACCAACTGGGTGGCCCAGGCTAAACAACCTCTAAAGATTAAGCATACCTGTGGCATCAGAACCTCCAACCCTTTTTGCGTTGGTACCGGAAGAATTTCGGCCTATCCCGTCGATTTGTATGGTTCGAACCGACTTAAGCCCCATCTCATTCTAGTTAGCGTCACAGCCATGACAGGAAGTTCTACATTTAAACAATTTAATAAGTTACCAAATATCATTAATATCTTATGGAAACTTCAATGGTGCAAACCTCATTTTGATATCTTTAACCGTATTGCCGCTAGGGAGCGTTTCTCGATTTTGACCAATACTGTGAAAGCTTCATAACTTTTTTGTTTATGATAATAGCTGATTTCTGTAATACATTTTCAATTTTATCCTCGAAAACTGGTAAAGATAAGCCTACCCACCTATCCTATTTGAAATTATAGGGACCGAGCACAAATTGTAATCCGCGACCCCTACTGGCAGTTTTCATAAGAATTTGTATAATAAACAATAGGCTTTTGACAAAATGCCAATATAGTCTAAACTATGGACGATACTGCGTTATTTTTTTATTTTGTTTACTTGTCACTCGTATTTCAAAAAATGGAGTAGGAAATAAATTTCTGTTTCCTAAATATAAAATGTATCCACCACAAAGCTGAAGACTGAATAGTTAGGGGTCAAATAAGGAATTAGTTGATGCCCTTCAATTCAAGTTTGCACAAGCAAGTTGATGGATATGACGAAACGTCTATCCTGGCCTTAAGACTATATTGGACTTCTGTCAAAAGCCCAGCTGTTTATTATACAAATTCTTTTGAAAACTGCCGCTAGGGGAATTTGTGACCGGCGCCTATAGGACTTAGATCTGTATCTCGAATTCGGGAAAAACTGGAAAAGAATAAATAGGTTCCTCACTGGATTTTGTTTGAAAAAATGCTTCCACAAAATTTAAACAGAAATAAATGATTTTCATAAACAAAAAAGTTATGAAGCTTTTATAGTATTGATCAAAATGGAGAAACGCCCTTTGGCGGCAATGCTGGAAAACATATTTGAAGCTTTAAAATTTGAGCCTAAGAGTGGGGGTTTCGTTTAGAAATTGACGTTTCCTATTAAAAGTGTCCAAATTGGCCCATCCTCCAAATTCCCAACAATGGGATCTCGGAAACCGTAAGGGTCGCCTAAATCATGGCAAAGTTGTGTAACTTGATTCTAATAGCCAATTTGAAAAATTCCGAATACTTAAGAAAATATCCGGGATAAACTGGTGATTGCGTTTTTCGCTTTAATTTTTTCCTGGCTCCATTTTTAAAGAGAGAAGACTGAAAAAAACTCAGCGAAAAACTAAAATAACTTCACTTTGGACGGGTTTTAATGTGTTGTTACTATTTTCCAAATTCCACGAGTCATATTTTTTTTTCTTATATTAATACATAAATTGTTTTGTTTTTATTACCTTCTAAAATATGTTGTGTAAAAATTATTTCGAAATTTCGACATTGTGTCCTAAAACATGCATCATCTGGCTGTGATGTTCATACCCCATAATGGGAGGCCAATAACCTAGTTTCTTAATGAAACATTTCTCAATCAGTGGATTGAAATCTAAAGTATGGTGCAATGGCCGGCCTGAAGCCTTGATTTGTCTCAGTTGGATAATTTCTCAGGGGGATTGTCAAAAAAGTGTTTGTTTAACAATACCGCACGTCACATAATGAATTTGCACCAACGCCCAAAAACAGGGTGTCTGGCATAACTTGAATGACATGGGGATTTTGGAATCCATTGCAGGATGGTGGACTAAATGGGGGAAGGGTTGAACAATTGAGTGACTGCAAATAATCTGTCACCAATTTCTTTGAACTTCTTGATTGTATCTTTATTAATAAACAAAATATTATTAATGAAGGTATATCCATTGCTATTCTGAGTTCAAAGAAGTTGATGACAGATTATTTGTAGGTACTTGATTGTGCAACTCTTTCCTCATCTGGTCCACCTTGTTAATTAGATTATTATTTTTGCAATGATCCAAGAATCCAAGACTAAAAGAATGGGTGCACGCACAGGTTTAATGATTGCACTGAGCTCCTTCTTCAGATTTTCTGAAAAACTTCTTCCATAGCATCGAGTTGTTTCAAGCAACCCTTCATTCTTCTACGTATAGAGACTATAACAGTATAATTTTTTATTTTTTCTTGATGAATACACTCGATTAATAATTGACACATCAAGTACCTACTCTAGCATCTCGGTGCCTGCTCAAGTCCATAGAGGCTCTTTTGCAGTCAACCAACAACTAGTAGAGCCCTCTATCTCTTGCTTAAGTTTACTCTAGAAAAATGCATCAAATTTGATCAACTTCATCTGTTCACTAGCAGAAATATTCAAAAGAGCTCCAATTGTATCTGAATTGGCAACAGGATTAAAGGCTCAATCATGATCTAGCTTTTTTTTCTTTGAATAGCCTATCGTGGACAATCCTGCCTTACATTTCTCTTTTAAACCATTTGGTTTGAATTTAACTTTACACTTTTCTTGAGGCAAGTTTTTAAGACCCTATGTATAGAGCAATTCTAATTCTTTCTTGGTAGTTTTGTGGCTGCCTATGCTGATTTATGAGGCCGCTCTCATTGCAAAGTTATTGAAAGTTAGCCTGGGCTGGGACTCTGTAACGAATAGAGATATGTTCTCTATCTCTATTGACGTCCCCTCTCTATTGATTTCGAGAAGGGAGAAGGAGACAGCAAGTGCCATAGCGATAGGGATAACGATCTCTATGCGTTACAGAGTTCCAGTCCTGAATTCTTTAAATTTTTTCAAGGTCTGAAGCTTTCAGTCGGTTCTTCATAATCTGATATAACAATGTGAAAATTTTGGTTACCTAATATCTACCTACGCATTCCTATAGGTCTGACTGTCCCACAAGAAAACTTTCACAATCATTCACAAACTGAAATACACATACTATTTTTTCTGCGATCGGTTAAATATCTGTTAAATTAATTAGATTCCCTTTGACGAGTGTAAAGGGGTGCTATATTCAACAAACCTTAAAAATTGTGGATATTGGTTCTTTTTCAAAACAGGCTGTCCAAGAAGATTATTTTTTGCTTGTTAATATGATATCAAGAAATTAAATTTTTAATGACATTAACGCTGTTAAAAAAGACCCAATATCCCTAACCTATGAAAAGCTACTGCAGTATATTGGATATTGGAAGGAATTCAGAAAAAAAATGTTGCTTTTATTCGTTTCAGATATTTGAAAACATGATAAATCAATAATTATTCTTACAGTAAACTAATGGATACTACAAAACCGCAAGAGAGAGGCGAGCCAAAAAGCCGTGCTACTCGTGGGTCGAGAAGCTCTTCTACTCGTGGGTCAAGAAGCAATGGTAGTCGTGGATCACGAAACTCTGCATCTCGTAAGTCAAGAAGCTCCGCTATTCGTGGGTCAAGAAGATCTGCTGCTCGTGGGTCAAGAAGCTCTGCTACTCGCGGATCAAGAAGCTCTGCTAGTCGTGGGTCAAAAGGCCTTTCTTCGCGTGGGCCAAAAAGCCCTGCCAATAGTGGATCCGAAATCCCCGCTACTAGTGGGTTAAAAAGCCCTGCAGTTAGTGAAAGACGGGGCATAAGGAATATGAAGCCAAAGGAAAAATTGCCGAGGTTAGTGTCGGGGCCTTATATCGTTTACGAGTTGAGGCCAGAAGATATTGAGGAGGATTTGAAGGTGATTAGAGACGCTATGAAAAAGAAATTGGTTATATAGAGGTTCCTATGAAAGGGATCCTATTTTATTTACCTCAACTTACCTGTACTTAAACTTAAATTAATCTTACCATTTAGAATAGCTATAGAGAGAGTTCCTATTTTATTTACCATAATTGCTAAAGATATTTATAATTTAGATATGCTTGTAATTTTTCACCACTTGAATAATTAAACTTTACATTTAGAATGGCTGTGAAGGAAAACACGTGATACAGATATAATCCTGCAAGGAAGTACCAGTTTTTTCCAAACCCTAGATGTTAGGTATTCCCGTGAGTTATTTTTATAAACTAAACTCGAACTGAAATTTTTACCACCTAATTGCCGGAGAGCCAGCGCCGAAAAAAGTCTCTGAATTTACTAAAGCCAGTTTTTGATCAGTTGATTACAGTATTTACGTACCATCGTCACCAAAAGTAACTGGGACAGCATCACATTAGCTCTTGTCCTATAATATGAATTTTATTGTCAAATATTTGTCAAACTATGCATCAAATGCATTGAAATTAATGACAGTAGAATTAGTCCAGGAGATTATTATGCATTATTTGTGTCCCAGTTACTTTTGGTGACGATGGTACATAAACATACCTCGGTCAGTCAAGCGAAACTTGGGACAAGGACCTGTGGTGTCTGGTTAAAGTTGTCGAGATAGCTTAGGTAATGCAACGAATTTACTAAGGCTGAAAATCGCTATACATATTATATATAACACATAAAATAACAGTGATGTTTGTCAGTCAGTTGAACAGCGGAACTGGGCCGGTCATTCAGCCCCATTAAGGTAGTTCAGCCCCAATTTATGTAAAAAAAATAATAGGTCTATTTTTTTTTAGAGTGACAGCGTGACAGTGACAATTCAAAATTGTAGGTTGGAGTATAAATTAATAGGTTTGTTCAGTAATATTAATATTTTTTGCAGATTTTTACATTTATTGGGGCTGACTGACCAGCACGGTCCCGCTATTCAACTGACTGACTAACACTACTGTTATTTATATGTTATATATAATGTGTATAACGATTTTCAGCTTTAGTAAATTCGTTGCATTACCCAAGTTTTCTCGACACCTTTAACAAGACACCCTGGGTCCTTGTCCCAAGTTTCGCTTGACTGACCGCGGTAGGTTTATGAAGGTACGTAAATACTGTAATCAACTGTCCAAAAACTAGCCTTAGTAAATTAAGAGAATTTTTTCGGCGCTGGCTCTTAGACTATAACCCGTAATTTCTCTGATCCTAAGAGCATCTCTCCCAAATTTTTTCGCTTTGTTCTAAAAAAGAAAAATGTGTCAAGGCTCCTCCTTATGAATTTAAAACTATCACTTCTTCATGTGTGATTTGCCTGTTACCAGTACCTCCTTTACTATCCCACTCCTCTTCTGGTAAGTTCTCACACTCTAATATGATAGTATAAAGTATCAGTAGTTGTTTCCATCCATCCGTCATTTCATAGTGTGAATTACTTGATGCCTTTGTCTGTTGATAAAGTTCCAGCAGTCGACCTACAGGCATAAGCGAACTACCCAGTCATTGTAGTAAGGAAAAAATCGGAGTCAACTCTTAAATATCTTTCAGAAAATAGTGGCCACTTTGCATTGTACCAGAGGAAGGATGCCGATAAAACCCTACAAAATAACTGCTAACATGAAATATTAAATTGATCGTCTGATATTCCTCAGCCGATGAGGCGACTCTTTGCGAATGAAGTCAAATATCTCTGGATGAAAGGTTTACCTGGAACTTGTATCAGGTGAGAATAAAACAGAAAGCAAGTAGACCTGTAGCAAACAATGGGGAATTGGCCAAAGCATGGCTATTATTTTTAGAAATTTTAAGAGAATAACCCGTTATGTTTTTATTTTCCTTTAGTTATACTGGAAATAACCCATTTCTCTGTTTGTTTATTTTGAGCCGCTGCCGGTAACAGAAAAGAGAAAGGATATGCGTCGCTGTGAGATTATTAAAAAATGCGAAGTGGAAGTTTTGGATGCTAAAAATAAAATCAAAGGCATGTGTCGCCTGTCTATTTTCCGTGCTCGGGAAAACAAGCTGCTTGACTAGTATTTTTCATTTTTAATTAAATACGATTGCAACGAGATATCGGAGTTTTATTTTTATGTTATTTTATTTAAAATTTGTTTATGTGAGTCCATTTCTAACATCAGAAGCAAGATTGTGCCCATAGTTTTTTTTTTTCCATTGACTGATATGTTGTGCCTCATTGAGCTATGGAGCCTCAAAGTGGAACTGATGATTCAGCTCAATCGCTGATAAGTGCGCTTGTTGAAGCTGTACCATTACAAAGATCAAGCAAGCAGATTGACTTGTCTTACTTTAGGCTTAAGGTAAATGAATCCATCAATTGGACAAGTCAAATAGAGGCTTATCAATAAGAATTTAGTTGGACTAATCCAAACTTTGCCTCGAGTTGCTCGATTTCTACTGAATGATTCAAAAACATTATTGCTTGAGTATGGAACCAACTAGATTGTAGATTGCATTTGGAGTCGTTCCAACTGCTACCTTTCTAGATATTTTATGCGTGATTCTGCTTCTAGTGTGTCCAAGATTTGCAGGTTTCTCCAAAAGGAGGCCAGCTTCCTGGGTGGTAAAGTGCCCACCTCTTGGGATGTTAGCTGTACCCACCCCGTCAAGGTATTTCAGCCTTTTGCAGAAGTGAGCAGGGCATTCACAGATTAAATGATCTGTTGTTGCTGTTGCTTGTTCGCAAGATCTGCAGTGGCTGTTGTCTGATTTGCCTATTATTTTTGGGTGATATTTCACCAGGCAATGCCACTAAAAGTTGTTCAGATCTCTTTGCTGAGACGGATATGCCTGTTCCAGACCATTTGCCAGACTATGAAAGTAGCTAGCATTCTGTGCTAGATAACATCTATTCTTGCCTCTTTTTCCAGAAGAGGAGGCATGTTCAGCAGTACCTCTAAGGCTGCGGTGGGGCAGTTTGACATATTTGTAGAAAAACATGTGGGCTGGTTTGATTCGTTAGTGTTTGGATAGTCCCTGTTATTCCTTGACAAATTACCCTTTGTACTTCACGTAGATTGTTCTGTTCTGTTCTGTCAGTAAGCTCAGTCTTTGGCCGCCATACCAACGAGTGGGTTAAGTGGGTAATAATGGCCTTGATAAATCTAATGTTCTATTTTTGGTTTATCCCCTAGGTTTTACCACTAGTTTTGTGGTATGTCAAACTGGCTGCCGTAGCTCGTGATATTGTATTGCTCAGATGGTGGTTCCAAGTAAGTTTGCGTTGCCTAAATACCTACTTAACTTTATCCGAGAAACATAACTGAGTGCCGTTTAGAGTGGGGGCTCGCAGCAATCCAGGAAGCTGGATCTCCTTCTTTTTGTAAACGGATCTAAGGTTGTTTTGCTGGGGTTTATGGAAAGTGGTTCTCCCTCGCCCCAGTTTTTGATTATATTCAAGGCACTTTTTCATTCGGTCTGTTATTATCCTTTCAGGCATGCCTATGATTATTGCCTCCAGATCATCTGCGTAGCCTAGGACAGTTATTCTGACGTGGCTTAGTCTGGTAAGGAGGTCTACCACTAGTGTCCACAGGAGAGGCGAAAGGACACCACTTGTGGGTAGCCTTTAACCGTGGTAACAGTAATTATTCCGTCGTTCAATTTCACCGATACTGAGCGATGTTTTAGCATGGCTTCTTACCATCCTATAAGCGGTCTGCTATTAGTCGCTTCTGATATGTCTATTGCTTTCTCCATGGATTTAGGGGAAAAGGAAGTTAGGCTAATGACTCGATATAATTTTGGTTCATCATCCGGTCGACGTCTTGCCTTTGGTATGAATGTTACGCCAGCCTCACCCCAGGCTAGTGGAACGTAACCTAGAGTGTGGTTGAGTTTGAATATTATTTGAAGATGTACCTTTAGGATATTGCTGCAGGGATAGAAAGCTACCATCTTATTCTGGGGATTTATACATCTTAACGCTGTCTATCGCCCATTTTATTCTGTTTTGCGTGAATATTCTGCCATTCTCCAGCCTCTTCCGTTGGGGCGATTAAGTCCTCAGCTGTAGGAGCCAGACTGGCTCTGACAATTTTCCACGATTAATCCAGGAAAGTGAATCTTCAGTAAGACTTATGGACTGTCTTTGTGGTTATTGCAGTACTCGCTGTTTTGAGGACGTTGTGCCTAGGATAATTCATTTATCCCTTCGCAAAACTGTCTCCAGGTTTTCCTTTTGGATTTTCTTTTACTTTGTTAGGCCTATCCTTTAGTTTTCACAGTCTCCAGTAGTATAAGCCTTGTTGAACGACTTTATGGCCTCTGCTTTTAGACCGCCTAATACCCGGTTCCATCAAAGCACGTCCCTATGGACTGCCTTTTATTTAACGGGTTCTCAAAGGCGTTTTTGATTGCATTGATTAGAATATCTGAGGCTGCCTCTAGTTACTCCTGTGTTTGGGAGTTCTTCCAAGCCAATGCTGAGAGCTTCTTTATAGAAGTCCCAATTTGTAAACTTCGGAATTCTCCTTTCTTCTGTTTTGTGCAGATTAACTCACCTACATGATTTGATGTTGAGTACCATGATCTTTCCTCCATTTATTCAGGGTTCTTGGAGTAGCCCTAAATTTATTCCTTCTCAAAATATCCTTCTTCTAAGGTCGCTGGTGGCAGCTTTTGCCTGTTGTAGGTTAATTTGGATGCACATCAGGAGTGAAGTGCCATTATTGAGGTTGGTGCTTTTTGGCTGTATGCAAGCCATTTATACGACCCCATGTTTCATAGGTTTTCTTTCCACCTTTAGGCTTTTCAGGCCTCTGGTTTTGGGCAACTTCGAAATCCTCCGATATTGATGAGTCTGTAACCTTGGATGTACCAGGTTGCGTCTCTTGTTGCTTGGAGCTTTTCTGTATTCCGTCACTTGTCTGTTTCACTGTTAACTTGTAGCTGATTACGTAGCTCTCTGATTTAAGTTTCTCTGCTGACCCACTGTCTTGACTGTCTACAGGGAGAGCTAAGGTAAATAGATGGCCATCATTCCCACGCTTGATGATCCTCCAGTTCTTGACGTTTAGGCCTTCATTCTGGCCTTCGACAAGTTTGAGGACTTTCTCCGTCGAGTAGTCCTGACTCCCTGCAAATCTCGCTCTCATAACATCTGAAAGAGGAATTTCAGGTGAAAAAAAAATCAGGTCGCTTGCGCAACACTGCAAATTATGAG